AGAAAAGTAAGATCCGTGGTTCAAACCCCCACCTCTGGGTAAGTTTTGCGTCATCGGTTGGGAAGGAGTCGTGAACTTCCTATTATATGCTCTTCAGCGGTGCTTTGTGATAAGACCGCAAGGACTTCATGGGGCACCTTAAAAATTAAAAAAAAATAAAAATATATCATCATCAATAACATCAAAATATAATATGAGTTTTGAATTAAAAATATATACTTAAGGATGTATAAATGTTTATGCTACCCTGGTCACAAACCCAGCCTTGACCCCAGCCCCAGCTATATTTTATCAAACTGTCCCCAGCCCTGATCAAATGTCAACCCCGGTCGTTTACTAGAAGTGAGATCCTTTTCAAGCTCAAATACCTCCTCCAAGCAATCAGAGAGTGTTGGCTTCTTATCGTGACAAGAATAAATGGTAGTATCATCAGCGAACAATGCCGCCTTAAATGTGAGAATATCTGTAAGGTCGTTAATGTAAATTAAAAAGAGTATAGGGCCAAGGATTGAACCTTGAGTATCCCCTGAAGTAACAAAATATGAAGAAGAGTGCTGTCTATCAAGGACAACTTTAATACTTTTATACTACGATTGAAAAGGAAGGATTTAATAATCTTAAAAATGTTACCAGATTCACCGTAAGAAGAAAGCTTATGGAGAAGGCCAGCATGTCAAACTTTATCAAAAGCTTTAGAATTGTCAAGAACAATACCTTGACTTCTCCACCTTTATCTAATGCTTGATAAAACCTATCGGTTATTACTGTTTGCAAATCAGCTGCAGAATGAGAAGATCGAAATCTATATTGATAACCAGAAAAAAAGTTGTTAGATTTAAGATGAGACATAAAGTGTTAGTTTAATAAAGATTCAAAAAACTTTCTAATGATAGGAAGAAGACTAATGGGACGGTAGTTAGACGAATCAGATCACTCTCCAGAATTTTTAAAAATAGAGATAACAGATGCTGCTTTCCAGCAGGCTGAAAGACTCTGATAAGCACTTGTTGAATAGTTTTGAAAGGATAGACGACAGCTCCGGAGAACACTTCTGCAAGACTATAACAGGTATGTTGTCCAGACCACAAGCTTTAGAAGAGTCTAAGCAGGAAATCACTTAAGATAAGCAGCTGGAGTGATATGAATGTCAAGCAATGGATCAACCTGTTTGATGGCTATATAAAGTAGAATGCAACTAGTGGAATTAAGAGATGATATTGATGAAAGGTTCTTAGCAAATAATTCAGCTTTGTCTTTGAGTGAGGTGACAAAGTCTGAACCATACAAAAGAGGTGAATTACAGACTGCCCTTATTATAGATACTATTAAAGATTCTCCAGAAGTCACGAGAGTTTAATTTTTGTGATGAAATACGAGATATCATGACCTGAGAATAGTTTGCTTTGACATTAGACAAAACCTTTTTTCAATGGTTCCTAGCAGTAATAAACAGACGTCTGTTTTCTGGAGAATCGTTATGCTGATAGATATGGAAGTAATGATTTCAATTGGCAATTGCAGCAGCACATTGTGAGGAAAACCATATAGAAAAGTGAGGTTTGACCTGGAATCGTTGAGACGGAATAAAGGATTCCATGCCAGCCTGAATCCACAAAGTTATGTAAGAAGCACATTTGTCAACAGGAAGACAAAAGATTTCTACCGAAAAGGTCATCACGAAGAAAATCATAGAAAGAATCCCAGTCAGCTTTAAGGTAGTTGTAAGATGTTCGATGATAGGGGATTCTGATGATAAAGAAGAATGAGATAATAGTTTTAGAGAGATCAAATTGTGATCAGAGGCACCTAAGGGTGAATGTGGAGAAACTGAGCACTGACTAGGATCAGAAACAAGTCATAAGTCAAGTAGAGAAGATAAGTGATTTTGGTTGTCTGGAAAGCAAGTTGGAAAGTTGACTATTTGAGTTAGGGATTGAGAAAGGCAAAAGTTGTGGGCTTTAATGCCTGGAGAATCACTGACACTAGAACCAAACCATTCAAAGTGATGAGCATTAAAGTTACCAACAACAACAATATTGGCTGATAGATAAAGAGGGGTTGGTCAATTTTATCAGAAAGAGTCTTGAGATAAAAGAGAGCAATATAGAACAATATATAAGAAAGGTGTATATATATAAAAAAAAAAAGTTATATAAAAAATCTTTTTCTTTTTCTATCACTGTAGTTTTTTTTCTATCACTGTAGTTTTTTTTCTATCACTGTAGTTTTTTTCTATCACTGTAGTTTTTTTTCTATCACTGTAGTTTTTTTCTATCACTGTAGTTTTTTTTCTATCACTGTAGTTTTTTTCTATCACTGTAGTTTTTTTCTATCACTGTAGTTATTTTTCTATCACTGTAGTTTTTTTCTATCACTGTAGTTTTTTTTCTATCACTGTAGTTTTTTTTCTATCACTGTAGTTTTTTTTCTATCACTGTAGTTTTTTTCTATCACTGTAGTTTTTTTTTTTCTATCACTGTAGTTTTTTTTTTTCTATCACTGTAGTTTTTTTCTATCACTGTAGTTTTTTTCTATCACTGTAGTTTTTTTAAAGGTAGAGTGAAGTGGTGTTAAACAAAAGCACATAAAAGAATAGTCTGTGGAAACCTAGTTTCCAGATAAATGAGTGAGTTCTTACAAATTTAAATCTTTAACCAAGCATGTGACTATTGGAGTCTTTACGAATCAAAAGAAGATAACCATCAACACTAAGATCACAAGATGAGACAGCTGAAAATTTTTAAATTTGTTAAAGAACTTGACTCAAAATATTGATAGTACTCATTACACTGTTTAATAGCCCAAGCAATTGCCTCATTACTATTAATAAACCCTAAGTCGTAACAAAGGGGTCCAAATGTGGCCTTGACAAACACCAAAAGTACAAACAGTGACACCATCCATGCGCAACATGGCACTGTTAATACTTTGATATTTTTGATGGAATCAGCCACTCTGAGAGCTACCACAGAGGTTGTGAAACCTAACTACTAGCCGGCTTCAGAACCATAAAACTGTGTTTTAAAGCTGCACTCTCATGAGATATTAGAATGAGTTACTTAGTAATAAAAACAGCGACACAAGCAAAACTTATGTATTCAGTCAAGAAGATCTAGTATTCAACATCCTAAACTGGAAACAATGTATTAAAAGTACATCTCACCAACCTAACAGATAAAGAAGGGGTGTGAAGCTGGTCAAGAGATTCTGTTTACCCTTTAAATCTTTGCCTAAGTGGCCTTCTACAAGAAAGTAGCCAGATGCATTTAACATCTTTCCAAGATGAGTATTTTTATTGAGACACCATCTCTAGTCTTTACTCAACCAAGAGCCCCAAGACAGGGGGTGCTGTAAGTCGGAGTTGGCTTCTCCTAGCCTTTCCCTAAAAAAGGGTATCCTACAAGGCAGCAGGACATAAAGCAGATTGTACTGGCTTACATGTTACCAGTAGCAGGATAATCTGACCTTACAATTTATATGCTCTGTAAGGTGTTATCTCTTGGAATATTTTATTAGACATTTTTTTCATGGAGGTTTTTTTTAATAGATATTTTTTGCATGGGCGTAAACAATAAGTTTGTGATAGGGATATGCTGAGTGAATTCTCTAAGCTCACAAAACTTGAATGAAATTGCAGATATGCTCTTTATTAGTACCAATCCTAAATTTAGTGTAATCAATTATCACTTTGATAATTAAATGCTTGTAGAATGCATTTTCAAGAGGTCTATATATCATTAATTAACATTCAAATTTAACTTTCTGCACAAAATATCCAAATTAAAATATCCCTGTTGGATTTCAAACTATAATTTCAGTTTTTGTTGTTATGAGAACCTTGTAACATACACAATCATTGGTTTAAATTATTTTTAAGAGAAATTTTTTTTTAGCATTAGGTCCCAGATTTTCAGGGTGTGTAATAATGATTTCATTTAGTTTAACAACTGATTGTTTTGTCAAAATAATCACTTTTATTATTATTGAAGTAGAAGGCCAAATATTCATGATAAAAAAAGAAGAATTAAATAATTCGAAATCAGCATAAAAAATTAATTAAAAAAAAAAAGAGGTTAAACTATGCAAAATCTAAAAAAAAAAGTTAATTTTGCCCCCCCCCCCTCCTTACTAATCATCTTGAAAGAAGCAAAGATTTAAAAATAGTTTCATATAAAAATGATTATTTAATACTAAATGTAATATTTTTTTTACTAATTACATAAATACTATTTTCTTCTATTAGGGATTGTCTGTAAATTATGTATCGTAAACTTTCACAATAAACAAAACAAAAGAGATCAAAAGTTTTCCTTTGCAGAGTCTTAATTTAAATTAAAAATCAAAATAGCCCATTAAGTTTGATGAAAATTGCTGCGTAAAAGAGCCTAATATCTCCTACTTCTGTTTTTATAATACATTTTGAATTGCATAATTTATGGATGATTCCTTATATAAAAATAGTCATTTTTCATCACATTGAATTTTAGCAACATTCTCAAAATGTTTTTAAAAATCATCACATTTAAACAAAAATCTTAAAATATTTTTAAAAATAACATTGATTGTTTTACATTGATTGTTTTGAATTTTTTCATTATTAGACTAATAATGTTAATCCAAATTTTTCTTTGCTTTTTTACCTTTTTGTTAAAGATAATTTTAATTTGTTTTTAAAGCAACACTACCATAATAATAGTATTTCTAGAGCAATAATACATAATATAACATTATATGAAAGCAACCCTCAGAATTAGGGTCATTCGATCATGCCGACCTAAACAGCCAACCTAGAAGTGTTTAAGGTCAGCAAAAAATCGTTGACCTCGTTTCTATGTTTTATGGTTAAACCTTTGTTTTACTTTTTTTTTGCCAATCTGATGCCGACCTCACAGGGATTAAGGTTGGGAAATTATTGTCGACCTGATTTTTTCTGATTTGGATGGCTGATAAAAGTAATGAATGGTATTTTTAGTTTGTTATATTTTAAAAAAATATTTTAGTTGGATTTCTCAAATGAAAAATACTCTATTTTGATGACCACTGCAGAAGGCTACAAAAAGGAAATAAAAGCTTTGGAGGAAAAATGTCAAAGTATTACAAATAGTCTTAGCAAGTATAGAATAGAGGCTGAATCTGCCAAACAAGTATTTTTATTTTTTTAATTTATTTTTTAATTAAATTCAAATTTTGAAAATTAAGAAAATTAAAAAATTTATTGTTGTAGCTGTAAACTGAATCTTCCGAGCAAGTTTTTTCTACATTTTTTCTGCAAACAAGTATTTTGTCTGCACTGTTACTATGTTATAAACATGATTTTGTCTGCACTGTTACTATGTTATAAACATGATTTTGTCTGCACTGATTCTATGTTATAAACATGATTTTGTCTTCACTGTAAACATTATTTTTTCTGCACTGTTACTATATTATAAACATGATTTTGACAGCACTGTTACTATATTATAAACATGATTTTGTTTGCACTGTTACTATATAATAAACATGGATTTACCTGCACTGTTACTGTATTGTAAACATGATTTTGTCTGCACTGCACAGTGGTCCAAAATTTTTTTTCCGTGGCCAAAAGTCCCAAAAAAGTCAAATCTTCCAAACTTTTATTTTATTTTATTATTGAAACAAAAGTGCTTTACTCTACTCAAAAATGTATCAGTTTAATTACTAGAGTTGAAGGCAAGCTTGCTAGAACCATTTATAGCGGCTTTAAAATTGTCAAATTTTCACAAATTTAAAAAAAAAAAATACTTATCCTCAAAATCTACATTACTTTTTTCAATTTAAAAAGCTTTGGACTATACTTTAAATAAACATATTAACTTAGTGCTTATAAAAAGTATGTTTTAGTTATATATTTGTATTTAATTTAATCATATGTCTTAGAACTGTTGGTATTTTAAAGATGCTTTTGTAAAGTTCCTCATCTTCCTTTTTTTCTAAATGCCACTCAAAAATTGTTTAATTTTCTGATTTTTGCATTGACTAAAGGCAGTTAATGTTTAAAAAAAAACAGTTGTAACCATGTATTCATTATGATATATTTTTTAGTTGGAAATCTATGACTTTTTTTGCTTTTATAAGACCGATTTAAAGTTAAGATGTTTGTTTAAATGGACCACCGTGTCCCGAGACATGTTATGTTCATATTAAAGAGAATATTTAAAAACGTCTAAGCAAATTTTTTTTGATTAAAACTAATTAATAAATGTATACCAAGAAAAATAAATCTTGTTGTTTTAGTCAAAGCTTGTCTTCTCTGTTTTCTGCGGTATTTGGAGTCTTTAAAATAAATGCAATTTTCCAGACGCATTATACAGACTTGATAATTTATTCAAGTGCGTTTAATTCATAGGAGTTTTAGTACATGACGTCATTGGAAACATTCTTGAAATTCTTTAAAAATTTTATTATTAAATTTTACTAAAATAGCTAACTATAGTTAGTTATTTTATTTTCTAAAATCTTCACATTAAAATATATTTTATTTTTTTGTAGCTATCAGAGGCGTGGCTACATGGGCCACGGCGATGGTAGACCTAGGGACCTCTATGGCGCCAAATCGGGTTATATAATATCTCCGATGATTCACAAGTGTGTTCTTTACATTTTGATGCAAGTTGTTTCGACAAATCTAATGAACAATTAATTAAATCAAGCACTAGGAAGAGATATAAAAAATAAGAATATACTAATAAAATATATATTTGTAATTAACTTTCAAAATTTTGACAATTTAAAAAATATATATTATAAAACATTTATTTTTGTAAAAAAATAATAATAGTTTAAAAGATTTACGGCTTTACAGATGTGGCTCCGAGAATGAGCCATAATATTAAAGTAATAGTTCATTTGATAATATATTCTTAAAACAATTTATGCTAGATATCTCAAAATGCAACCAATCGTGAATAATTACTTAAACATTTCAACAGAATACTCTAGAACTTTATTTCGCTTAGTCAGCCTATTTTTTGAACCAATAGAATTAGTTTGTTCGTAAATCTGGCAGGTTTTTAGTGTTTGTGAATATTCTTTTTATTCTTCTGCAAGATGTTTTGAGATCATTCAAGTTAATTATGTTTCCACGTATGTCCATAAAACAAAAATTAATATATATTTATTTTTGAATTTTTAATATATATTGGATGTTATAATAATGGAAATATAAGTAATGAAATAAGATCACCTAAATACCAAAAAATACATTTTTGAAAATCTGAGAAAAAATGTGTTAATTTTTTTTTCAATATTTACAAAGTAAATTAATAAAAGTGCATTATTATTTTAGGTTAAAAATTATTTTATCTAATATTTTAAAAGAAAAACTTATAACAAAAGAAATCAAAATACATGTAGTCTAGACGATTATTCAAAAAAAAGTTGCGCAAATAAATTACAATTTGTTTTTAATTTTTTTACAAACACATTTTAGAACTTTAAAATATAATAAAAATAAATATGATTTGGAAATTGTATGTAAAAAATAATAATCGGTGTTTTAAACAAACAAAAAAAAGTCTATGACATCAATACTAAAACTTCTATGTTTAATTTTATTAAATAAAATCAGCTGCGACTAGTTATAATTTAGACTTAAAATCGATTTTGAAATTTTAAGATTTTAGACTAATTTAATTCTTAATTTAAAATGCATTGTGATGTGAAAAAATTTGGCTACTTGCCAGAGGAACTAAAACATAAATGAAATAAGAAATTTAAATAAGCACAATGACATTATCGAGTCATATTAAAATGAAAACACTGATTTGCAATTTTACTACTACATTGGCTTTGAATTTACTGACTAAAATTTTATTTATTATTTTTACATATCGATTTGATCGAAATTATAATCTGCACTAATTTGTAAAATAGGAATAAACTTTTAACCTTGAGCTATAAAAAATAAATTCTCAGTTTTAATTTATTTAATGTTAACAATATAAAATACAGTTAGTCTAGTTCACCAAAAGTCTATATGAAAGATGTTAGTGACTAACAGTTTAATTATTCTTTAACATTTAGCAAGTTTAGCATTTTAACATAGCAAGTTCAATTTTCTTATAGTGTCAATGTTAATTTTTTATGCTTAAGGCTTTTTAATGTTATAATTTTTGTAATCACATCAGTGCAATTATTAACTAATTAGCCTTCAATATCATATAAACTTTAAATTTCCAGAAAAATAAATTTTTTCACGTCATAATGTAAGAATTAAATTAGTCTAAAATCTTGAAACTTCAAAACTGTCTAAATTATAGCTAGTCGCAGCTGATTTTATTTAATAGTATTAAACAACCTTTATACTTCCTAAATAGCATAATTCCAATTTTAAGAGAGCAGCATTTGGTTGAAATTGAATACTTAAATATTTGATTTTTATGTACTTATAGTGAAATAATTTTCTTTTTTTTTCCTTTTTTGAAAACAATAAAATAATTTTACAACATTTTAAACAATAATGGTTTGATGTGTTTAAAAAAAGAAAAAAAAAAGGAAAACTATAGAGTAAAACAGGGTAAAATGAAACAGCGGGTAGAATGAAATTGTAATGACAATGTTTAATCTTTTGCTCTTAATTAATTATTGAATAATTTTTTTGCATATTTTTTTCAATATTGTTGTCGAGAATTCTTTTTTGAGTAAGATGGTGTCGAAGTTTATTTTTAATTAAAAAAAATATTGTTACGAATTGGTAAGTTTTAGAATTCGTAATAAGATTTTTTTGTTATTTTGAAAAATGAACTTTAAACTTTCAGAAATTAAATTTGATATCATTGAACTTAAAAAGTTTTCTGGTATAACTTTTTATGCTGATCAAGAATCTTTTTTCAAAATTAAAATCGCTATTTAGGAAAAAATGTTATGAGTAAAAAATGGAAAAGGAGAATTGTGGGGTTAAATGAAGTACGCTAATAATAATTGAAGCAATTTTTAAATAAGGCTTTTTTTTTAAATTAATTCTTAAGTGACCAATAAATCTCCAGCTATAAATTTTTGTATAAATTTCAATGAACAAATTTTTCTATTTGAATTTAAATGAACGAGTTTGACTGACTGCTTTTATTAAATGATTCTAATAAATGAATGAAATACGCTTGTTGCTCTCTTGTTAAGTTGCAAGGTTTGGCTATATTAAACATGCATACCAAAGCAATACGTTAAAGGCGCTTAGTTTTATTGTACCAAAAAGTGCCGCACAACTGAAAGCTCTAGCACCTCTAAACGACTCAACATCATCACAAGAATAAAAAAGTTTTTTTTAATTAATTGATTTTTTAATTGTTATTGTTGATTGCTTCTTGTTTTTTCAATAAAGTATTGTTTTAATTACACATACATTTGCGTATTTCATTCTCCTGGTATGTAGGTGTAGAATGGAATAAATTTTTTTTTAATCAAGTAAAGTTTTATAAAAAACTTTAATTTTTTATTTTTTTATTTTTATTTATTCAAATACAGCTCAATATTCTCTACAACTTTTTAAAAAAAAATTTTTTTTCTGCAAAAAATAAATAATTAAAATCCTTAACTATTCCATTTGACCCCATTTTATTATATTCCTTAAACAAATATCTTAACATTAAATCGGTCTTTTTATAAAAGCAAAAAAAGTTGTAGATTTTGAACTAAAAAATATATCATAAAGAATACATGCTCGCAGCTGGTTTTTTTTTTTTTTTTGAACAATAACTGCTGTTTTGGAAATGAAAAAATCAAAAAATTAAACAATTTTTGAGTGGCATTTAGAAAAAGAAAGATGAGGAAATTTAGAAAAACACCTTTAAAATATCAACAGTTCTAAGACATTATGAATAAATTAAATACAAATATATAACTAAAATAAATATATAAATAAACATATTAACTTAGTGCTTATATATATATATATATATATATATATATATATATATATATATATATATATATATATATATATATATATATATATATATATATATATATATATATATATATATATATATATATATATATATATATATATATATATATATATATATATATATATATATATGCATACATATATATATATATATAATATATGTAATATATATATATATATATATATATATATATATATATATATATATATATATATATAGTGTGTGTGTGTGTGTGTATGTATTTATATATATATATATATATATATATATATATATATATATATATATATATATATATATATATATATATATATATATATATATATATATATATATATATATATTAGGGTAGGTCGATTTTACTTCCGCATATTGCGTAATACTGCAGTAGTTGGAGACAGTTGAAATATGATTACCCTCAAAGTTTGAAAGATTTTTGATGAAGATTCGCTTGCGGATTTAATTTTTAAGATTTGAAGGATTACGCAAAAAAACACCTTAAAAAACGTTATACGAGAAAACTGACGTTTTAAATATGTTCATTTTAAAAATGTTTTTAATATTATTTGCATTGCTAAATGATTTAAATTTATAATAATTTATAACAATTAAGTTAAATTTATAACAACTTGTTAATTGTTTAAAGACTTTATCAGTGAATCTTTTATCCCTATATTTACATAAGAATATTACAATAAACAATAATTTCACAATTTAAAACATTTTGAACAGGAATATATATTTTTAGAAAAATATTTTCAATTAAAAAATATCATCATAAGAATGGGAATAATGTCCTTTTGAAATATATGGTTTACGCATCTTCCTGCTTAGTAATTTGGTTAAAATGCAACTGTGTCGATTCTCGAACCCATAAACATATTGGGATGCTTCCGATACTAGTTTTACCGCTCGCTCAACACTCTGGGAGTGAGATGGAAAGTCGGAAATTTCAGGTTTAACGTTATTGTCAATCATATATTGGATTTGCTCAATTGAAAAATGTTGTGTTGTAGGGGGCTCCGTAACTTTTGTAATGCTGATGTCAACCAACTCATACCAATGATTAGCATTAAAATTAATTTCCGGAATTTTCATCAAATTTACTTTCAAAATTTCGTTGTTTACTCTGAGTATAAACCGAAGTCAATTACCACATTTAATATAAATTTTTTCAAAACTTTATTTTAGTTAACTATAAAAAATACCTTTGCCTTAGAGCCAGTAGGATTTGAAAACCAAAGTTTCGTATCTTTTTGTCATTATCTTTTAGCATGGCATAAAGAATATTTTCAGGTTTTAGGCACAATGCATTTTTTTTGATGTTTTTTTTAACAATAAGTTTAACATCATCAAAGGGGAGATTATTTATTCTAGTAATAGTAGAAAAAATAAGGCGCGGGGATTCGTGGAATTTTGAAGATTTTTTTATTTTGAACCATGCTGGAGCATAAACTTGAACAATAAAGTATACAAGTTTTTTTAAAGAAACGGTTGGTTGATTGTCTCTAGTATATAAACAGAGAAGGCGAATAGCTAGAGTTAACCACCTTGCATGGTTAAGCGGTCCAATTTTATAGGCAGCCCATTTATCAGAAACTTTACCAAAGCCTATTCCTTTGCAATATTCAAACAAAAGTCTTTGATCGCAACTAAGGTCTATTAATATTTCTTCTGGAATATATCCATCTACTATTGGGTTTTCAATACGTTCAAACAAAACTTGATTTCTATCCTGAATATTTTCAGCACATCTTTTGCCAAGTAGACCACTGAAGCTTCTTGGCCCAGTTGTGTCACCATCAAGTTTTATAAAAAGAGCTCGTAACGGAAGTTCGTTTTGATGTAATGCGCATCCAATTAGGTGTAGTTTTCTTTTTAAAAGCTCTTCTAGTTTTACCACTAAGCCACTTATTGGTCCAGTATTGGTAGCTGTATTATCAAGAAGAACAGCTTGTATACTTTCCAAACTGTTATGTTCTTGTAAAACACTGAACGTTTCGGTAGCAAGAACTAAGCCTGTAGCACCAGTAACAGGAATCGTCCTATGAGTCAAATAATTTCCACTCGATTTTCCATCTTCATAAGTAAATGTGAGGTGATGTTCAGGTTCAATGCATTTCTTTAGTACTTCTCCTTGAGGTGAGTTTATTATTTTACTTGTTTTAGTTATCTGATCGAGCTTGCCATCAACCCCAAGACAAATTAACTGTTTTTTTTGTTCTGAGTCCACATCTTCAGTAACAGTTTTTACTTTTGATTTGGCTCTATCTAATTTGCATTTGTCAATCAAAATACCTTTTATATCAACGTCGTCTTTCAGGAGATGTTTAATGTCATGTAGTAAAGCATTTGCTAGAGCTGCACCTACGTTTGACGAGCACTCGTTTCTAACTAGTTCCATTGCAAATCTTGGAAGTTTAACCAAGTTGTATTTTCCAATAGGATTATTTATTGGTTTCCATTCACCTTTATCCTAAAAAAGTTAAAAAAATAAAATGCTTTATATTTCATCTACTACGAATATATCATGTAGTTATAAAACATTTACTTCCGTATTGGATAAACCACTTGCTTCTTCAACTAAGTTTACATGTGGTATAGGGGATTCATCTTCATCAACTAAATTATGAAATATTTTTTTTCGTTCTTTATCAAGTTTTTGAGTCTTTTTAACAGATAATCTATCAACGGAAGAAAGTTGATATGCACCTTTTGGACCAATTTTTTTTCTCTGATCACGAAGATAAGCTCTGTCTTCAAGAGGTACTTTATTACTTTGAGAGCAAAGGCATACAATATGTTCTTCAATGCAATTTTCTTTATTGCAAGAAACTTTTCTATCACTACAGGGAAACACATCTAATGAACAGGAACACGCAGAAATATCAAAGAGTTTGTCCAAGTTAGCATCAAGATTTCTTTTAGCGCTTGCGATTAATATCCTTAACAAGTACGAGAAGATCTTTTACTTTCCTATTAATAGATTTGTCAGTTATAAGAGGTAAACTTGGGTTTACTGAAGCCCAAATTGATTTTATATTATTGCTAATTTGCTGAGTCACTGATAAGATATCTGCATTTGGATTCACATGAATTAGATAGTAATAGTACTGAATAACCTGTCTAAAAGTGCTTGGATCTGTCATTGATAATTCACATGGGCCACCGCAATACTTTTTTTCACTTTTCATCCGTGTAATTGTAGTGGTAACTTTCGGCATTTTTGTATACTAATAATATATGTAAACTCTATTAAAGTATAGCACTTAGAGCCATGGGCCACGGCGTGACTTTTTAGAATGGGGATATCAAAACTTACTACAAAAAATCTAGTTTTTTAAAAAAGGTCCTTTTGAAAAAATCTGGGGACCATAGCCCCTCAGCCCCCTTTTCCCCCCGTCGCCGTAGCCCATGAGAGTATAAGTTATTTATGAATTAAGTTAACATTAGTTCTTTCTGAAACTTTTATATTTTAAAAGGTGCAAAAAAAAAATTTTTGTAATATTAATCAGGTAAAAACATTACTGTAAATATATTAATCATAAGTATTTACCTTTGATATTTAACTATTTCTTTAAATTGTAGTTTTATATTTGAACCTTTTAAATACTTTACTTTTCAATACTTAAATACTAAAAAATTTAATTTTAAAACCAACATTTAACGATTAGCAAAATTGAAATTTAAAAGCGTGAAACGATTTAGCGAAAATTTATTGGCTTCTTAAAACAATTGCGCTTTTTAAAATATCGTTAATTGGTTACTCTAAAAATTCGAAACGAGATACTTTAAAACGAGGTTACTAGACTTAAAATAAAATATTTCAATGTTTGAAATAAACAATCTAACAAAGCTAGTCCAATATTAAGTCTTGAAATATAAATCCGCAAGCCATTTTTAAACCAGAACACCTGATATTTGGCAAAACCTTATTTCTAAGCTAGACACAGTAACTGCAACATTATGCAACTCGAAATTCAAAAAAAAAGCTAAAATCGACCTACCCTAATATATATATATATATATATATATATATATATATATATATATATATAATATATATATATATATATATATATATATATATATATATATATATATATATATATATATATATATATATATATATATCTATGTATATATATTAGGGTAGGCCACAGTCCCACGTAAATTTTTCAAAGTATTAATTTTACTAGTAGCTGCATAAAATGTTGTTCCTTTTACTATAAAAATCATTTTTTGTTACAAAAGAATTAACGTAGCTCATTTCTAAGTTCTGCCAAATTTCATTTTAAGTTTCAGTTATACGAATAAATCCAAAACACAAAACTTCCATTGCTTCTGTTCCGTTTTTCAAGTTGTTCGGCATAATATTTACTAATAACGGCATATTTCTATTGTTTTTCATGTAAACAAACAAAACATGCGACAAAACATGCGAAGCATTCTTGTTTATTTAAAAATAATGTAAGCAACATAGTCTTTTGCAGCATACAGGAGTGTTTTATCTATTTTAACTAATTTGTTATATTTTTATTCTAATTACTGTTTTTTTTTTCTAAATATTTAGTAACAGCCGCTTAAATCATAAAGTTTATGTACGAAAAGAAATGTAATTTAAATTCTTCTATATAATTAAATACCATGCAATTTCACGATACTTTAAGATTTTTTATTTAAAATAAAATAATTTGTTATTCTCAAACAACATAGATGCATTTAAAGACAGTTTAATAAACAAGATTAATAAAAAAAACCGAAGTATCATAAAGCAAGTATCATAACACTACTATATTTCTTAAGAAAGCAACTTAATTTATTGATTCTATAATTAAATTCATCTTTCCATTCGTTTTTAAGAAATAAAGATGTTTTACGTATTATTATTTTTCTAGCAGTCATACAATTTAATTCATTTTAACATTTTAACATGGCATTGCATATACAAAAAAGAAAAGAAAATTTGTCTGCAAAAAATAATTTGACTGAGTCAATCAAAAAGAAATACTCAAAATTATTGAAATCAACCAATGAAATATGGTTGGTTGGATATCCGCTGGCAGATATTAATACCAGTTCTTTGCCTACTACTAGAGATGTCTACAGATTTTTTAGGTTTATACTATTTAAAGATTTTTATAACTTAATTTTTTATTTCCAAAAATAACTTTATTTTTCAATTAGAAAATAGACTTCAATTCATCTTTTGTTTACTTGTTAAGGTATCAATTAAAAATGATGAACAGTTCGCTTCAAGTGTTTTCTAAATGTACAAAAGAATTAGGTACTAAAAGCAACATTTCAAAATTAAAATTAGCTGCAAAATTAACGATGAAAACTGTTAAAGTATTTTGGGATAAAGCTAATATTCCTTGCAAGCAGGAAAAGTATATTGTTGAAAGTATTATTAAGTTAAATGATAAATGGAGAAGTCTTGCAAAGTCTAAACATAAATGTTTTTCAAAAAAAGATTTACTTATTCAAGGCTTCAAAAAAATAATGGATAATATATTTGATATTAGTTCTCCGAATTGGAAAGAATATCTTAAAAAAACCAGATCAAATTTATATATATATATATATATATATATATATATATATATATATATATATATATATATATATATATATATATATATATATATATGTATATATATATATATATATATATATATATATATATATATATATATATATATATATATATATATATATATATATATATATATATATATATATATATATATATATATATATATATATATATATATATATATATATATATTTACTCCACTTTTGAGTGCTGAAAACCAGATAATATCTTATATATATATATATATATATATATATATATATATATATATATATATATATATATACTCCACTTTTGAGTGCTGAAAACCAGATAATATCTTATATATATATATATATATATATATATATATATATATATATATATATATATATATATATATATATATATATATATATATATATATATATATATATATATATATATAGAGAGAGAGAGAGAGAGAGAGAGAGAGAGAGAGAGAGAGAGAGAGAGAGAGAGAGATTATCTGGTTTTCAGCACTCAAAAGTGGAGTAAAAACCGGAGGACTAGGTGGAAAAGATAATTTGATGAAATTGAGTGTCAAAAGAAAAATAGAGAAGGAGGAAAAAGAAAAATTAAGAATCAATAAAGAAAAGAAAAATAAATGATAAAGAAGTTGATTTCAGCATTTATAAAAGTGATAGTGACTCAACTGAAAAATCATTTTTTGCTGGGTCTAGAAGTTCTATGTACTCAGATTCTCAGAGCTCTTCTAAAATTGATTATGAAGTAAATAATTTTGAATCTTCTGCAGATGTAGTGGAAATTATGGCAAGAAATATAATTGAAGAATTTAAAAAAAAAGTTAGATTAGATTATTTAACTCTTCACTGGGATGGGAAACTTATGAAGCAAATATCTGGTAAAAAGTTTGACTATTTAACTGTTTTAGTAAGTGGTTTTCCAAACTGCGAGGAAGGTAAAATTTTATCTATTAAACCTATTCAGTCAGGCACAGGACATTCTATATGTAAAGGAATCATCGAAGATTTAGAAAAATGGGATCTTAAAGATAATATTGTTGCCCAAGTTTTCAATACAACGGCTTGTAATACTGGAGTAAGAAACAGAGCAGCAACTCTTCTTGAAGAATGCAAATTGATTGTTTTATTAATTCTAAAACATGATGACATCTCGTCATCATGTTTTAGAATTAATCCTAGGGTCGTTTTGGAAAGCTTTATTTCAAAAAGAGACATCATCTGATGATAATATAGAGTTTAAAAATTTTCAAAAAGAATGGCTTCACTCTAAAAAAACTCCTCTCAAACTTTCAAATAGATCCCTTGATCTTGAAAATTCATTTTTAAAACAAAAAGCAAATGAAACTCGCAATTTCTTAGAAAAAGTATTGCAGTCTAAGCATCATCCAAGAGGCGATTACAAAGAGGCTGCAGAACTAGCAATTTTTCTATTAGGTGGAGAAGAGCCCAAGAAATGGAAAACATGTGGTGCTCACCGTCATGTAAGATGGATGGCGCATTTGCTTTATGCACTAAAGATGTTAATATTTAAAAAAGATTTAACCGAATCTGATTTAAAAAACCTTAAAATATTTTTGACTTTTAGCTCAGATATTTACATTAAAGCTTGGTTAGAAGCGCCAAAGGCTCGCGATGTACCAATTAATGATATAGAATTATTTAATGATCTAGAAGCACTTAAAGGTATTCCGAACTTCGGTGTACCTGCTGAAAAAGCTCAATATGTTTTAAGCAGACACTCTTGGTATCTAACCGAGCAGGTGTCGGTATTAAGTTTATTTTCAAATAAACTTTCTTTAAATGATAAAGATAAAATTGCAAAAAAAATGCTTGAATACGGAAAACCACTTGGTATCAATTGCGGTAAACCAACTCTTCCACTGATTAGAAAAAATTCTGATATTATTTCTTATATTGGGAAAAAGTCTTGGTTAATTTTTCTTAATTTAAAAGATGATGGAAAATGGCTAAAATTCCTTCTTAAGAATGGGACGACAATGCTTATTATTTGAAAATGAAGCTGTTTATCAAAACTCTAAAAGTGACTAATGAGGCGGCTGAGAGAGGAATTAAGTTTTGTTCAGATTATCTCCAAATACTTACAAAGGTAAGCCGTAAAATGAGTTGAGAAGGCAATTAAAAGCCGTAAAATGAGTTGAGAAGGCAATTAAAAGCCGTAAAATGAGTTGAGAAGGCAATTAAAAGCCGTAAAATGAGTTGAGAAGGCAATTAAAAAATAATTATAAAAATTTACTATTAGAACAGATTAAAATTAAATTTCTTATCTTAAGGATGAGGCTGTACAAAACGAAGTTTTTAACGTGCTTGAAAATCACAGAAAAGTTGTAGGCAATTGTAATAAGAAGCAATTATTCGTTGATTTAGCTGAGTATAAATAATAACCGCTTTTTTATTATCTTTTCTGTTTTTCATTAGCCTGGTCATAAGACTGTCACGTATTATTTGAATAGCCCCAAATAATTTTTTTCCAAATTATTCAATTCTTCTGTAATTCAGGCAATCTATCATTTAAAAAGGAGTTATAAAAGCAGTTATTACTTGTATTGTGGTAAACCCCTCTCATATGGGGGAGGGGTA